AAACACTTTAGCTGACTTCACACACTGTAGGGATGTTTGTGTGAAATACACTCGTAAAGATAGTTAAATGACACTGATGACTGGCAGGTTGAAGTAGAATGCCACCAAACTGCTCTGTGTTTTCTGAAGCTACAGATTGCATCACTCACCTGTACAAAATACTGTTCCTCTGCAGAGTCTGACTGTATCGAGTCGTACTAGTCTGTGATGCTTTTATTATGTTAGTCTGAAATGCCAAATGACTAATAATTGTCCTGCTTTACCAAATCACAGCTTATCATTTCTTTAAAGGATTATTTTATGAAAGGATTTTTGTTCAGGTGAAAATTAGGAGATTCAGTGTTGGTCTAAGACAAAAGCTATAATAAAAGACATGGCGTATGGTATGAGTCATAATTCATTCCCAAACATTTCAAGGAGAATTTATTTTCTTATTTATTAAATCGACTAGGATGGGCTGAGTATGGATGTGAATGATACACACGCTGTTTCAACAGACCTCACAATCCTAGCAACAGCCTGTCTGCACTTAAAAAAATCATGAAACCACAGCATGACCAATATTTTATATAATTTAAGAGGTAGTGGACATTGTGATCGTTTGAAGGTAATTATGAAATGAGGTTGCAGTAGTTAGGAGTAGGTATTTTAGAAATAGGTATTGCTCACAGTGCTTTTTCATATTTAACAGCCTCTCACTTTTTGTTGACGCTCCGATGTCACTTTCAATTGGTTTTCGTTCTCTGGTGCCTACGCTCTGTTGCATTGAACTTCGCAGCCTTGGGACTATGAAAGAAGTCGCTAGATGAGGACAGATCCTAACAATTTATGTTTGTGCGTGGGTTTCAGTTTTTCATTCGTAAAGTACTGCTGCGCATCAGGGCGGAAGATGATGCGTCTGAGCTGTTTTTCCAGAAGTTGTTGACCTTCACTTTGCAGAGTCTATTACTCGATAATACACTTTTTAGCTTTAAGGGTGGCTGCAAATCTACTGATAGTGGTCTACAGAGCCAGAGGGAAAAGTCCCCCATTTAATTGTTTTCATTAAACGTACTGCTGTACCAGTTCGGCCTTGCAGGTCTGATCGTGCATGGTATTTGTGATGCAGGGATGTAAAAGGTCGTTGTTTTGCAAGTATCAACTGTGTGTTTTGTTGTTGGTGCTTATTTATATGTATGAATATTAGTGCCTGTATGTTTTATTCTTTTTTTGTATTAAACTTTACATGCGTCCAAATCCCATACAGGATATATTTTATGTTTTCATTAACACTCAGGAGTTCTAACACGTTTTAACATGTCAAATATTCACTAATTGCAACGTAATCCAACATAAAATGAGCCCTAAAGAAATCCTAAGAATGTAAAATTTGACACGAACTTTGTCTCTCTCTTTACAGAGCACAGAGCAGGTCACTGCTTTCTGCCGCAGCCTCCATGACATGAATCCACTGGAGTGCCCTATGTCGTCCTCCTCGTCGTCGTCTTCGTCGTCCCTGTCCCCGAGCCCCGTGACAGCTTTACCCCCCGCTGCCACCCAGAGACAGCTCTCCCACGCAGACAAACTCCGCAAGGTCATCAATGAACTGGTGGAGACGGAGAAAACCTATGTCAAAGTGAGAAAAAGCTCTCTTTGATTAGTTGAAGACAATCTTACCAGCACAAACTGATAGCTGTAGATTCTAATCTGTATTCGTTTGAGGATAATGGACATAGAATCTGGTACTGCTCTGACAAAACGAAAGGTTTCTTTTGTTAACGTGATCAGAACTTTGACTTTGTGCCATGGTTGGTTTTGTTCCTGCCTGTGAGAACTGATTCATTTCTGTTCTTTAAATACCTCAATAATGATTCCACATGAAACAGCCTTCACATGACAACAGACACCCCCGCATGCCCTTCCCCTTTCCTCCTTGAACATCTCATCAGAGGCTCATCGTGTATCTTTTGTCTTTTCAGGACCTGAACTGTCTTATAGAGTGCTACTTGACACCTTTGCAGAAAGAGAGCTTCCTTACCCAGGATGAGGTAATTTCCACCTCATCTACATAATCCAAAAGTGTTTATTAAATGCTGTCATAAATCCCCCTAAATATTAAACATCTGGAGTTAGTAGCACCTTCTGAATGACGCTTTGCGTGTTGTTGCAGCTGGACGTTTTGTTCGGTAACCTCGGGGAGATGGTGGAGTTCCAGGTGGAGTTTCTCCGGACGCTGGAAGATGGGATCAGACTGGTGCCAGATCTGGACAGACTGGAAAGAGTGGAGCATTTTAAGGTGGGGAAGGATTTCTCTAATGTTATCACACTTAAGGGTTCCTTCAAAAAGGTGCTGCTTCAAGATATTTGGTTCACGGTGTTATTGCAGTTGTACAAACGTGTTCGCCCTTCCTCCATTTGTTCTGGATCAGCAGTGAACATTAAGAATTTTACTGCTGGGGGCTCTTTGAAGGGATCAAACAGAGTTGAGACGTGTGCTAATTTGCATCGTATTTCAATTTTGATAGCACGACATGCTTGTTTGTTTTCGCAGAAAGTGCTCTTCTCCTTGGGGGGTTCCTTCCTGTATTACGCCGATCGCTTCAAGATCTACAGCGCCTTCTGTGCCAGCCACACAAAGGTCCCAAAGGTGCTGGCTAAAGGTAAAACATGCACACATTCTTGACTGGTGAGACGCAGGGAGACACCCAATGTTCCTTTTAGTTGAAAAGTGCAGTACAGAGGGCGAGCTGCAACTAGTCTCAGCACACATTGAGGCTTAACCTTTACAGACTTACTCATCACACCATTGAGTGGCTTGGAAAGTAAAGTTTACTTCAGCATTTCCTGATAGTTCACTTGAATGACACACAGTCTTTCATCTTAAAGGTCACCTATTATGCAAAATCCACTTTTTCATGTCTGTTATAAATAAACACGTGTCCCCTCTGTGTAAAGAGACTCCGAAAGTTTCAGGAAAAAAAATCCTCTCTTTTTGTCCTGATCCATTTCTATAAAAACCTGTCTGAAAATGAGCTGATCAGATTTTGGCCACTTTGTGATGTCATAACGATTTTTTGTCTTGTGTAACTATTAGCCAATCACCAACCAAGGTAACCCCCCCCCCACCTTATCACCTGAATCTCCTCCTAGAGCACCATTGTGTTCTTTTTAACCAAATATCTCTCAGAGGGGCGTGGGGAGGGGCTCCTGATTTTCATCTAAAGTAACAGACAGAGAATCAGCACTTTTGAAACAGGGCTGAAACAGAGGGGATTATGGGTAATGCTGCAATGATCAGTTTGGTGTTTCAGCCAAACACTTCAGAGACATGTTTTGTATAAATCTGAGACCTATAATATATTGATGAAAAACAGTATATTAGGGGACCTTTTTAAGATGCAAGTTATTTGCAGGTATAAAGGATATATTTTAGATGCAGCTTCCTGTTTGTGTTTCTTTGCCTCCTTTTACAAAATGCCTAATGCTCATATTTCTGCTCCTTCAGCAAAGACGGATCCAGATTTCAAAGCTTTCCTGGCTGAGAGAAACCCCCGACAGCAACACTCGTCCACTCTGGAGTCTTACCTGATCAAACCCATCCAGAGGGTCCTGAAGTACCCGCTGCTGCTCAGAGAGCTCTACTCTCTCACGGACCCCGACAGCGAGGAGCACTACCACCTGGACGGTAATCCAGTGTCTTTGTTTATTATTCGCTTGCACTTTTTGACACATGGAACTAGATATAGATAGATGATTGTTGGAAAAAAACTGAATGTACTCTTCCAATATCAGAGGCCCTACGTAGCTGTGTACGTAACAGGATGTATGATTACCCAGAAGAGCGTCAGGACTGTTTTAGGCATATGATAGCTATGTGATTAACATGATGATTCAGCCTCTATGGAGATTAGGTCCACTGTTTCCCCGCAGCGAGGCTCCCCCCGTAGACAGTTCACGAGCTCAGTCACTTCATAACACCATAGATGGGTCGCGGTAAACGCTCTGAAGTGAGGCTCCACTACACTAAAAAATAAAAAGACAAGGCACAGTGTAATGCCTGTTAATAGCTTGCCACAGGCATAGCTCAGTTAAAATAAAGCACAGCTATTGTGCGATACATTTGTATTGCATGTATATTTTTTATTTGTAAAAATGTCAGTTAAAGCTTAAAAGAATAAAGATATTTTTGTTATCTAAACGTTTGACCTCTTTCTTTTACAATTTTGGAATCGAAACGGGGAATCGATAAGAACCGGAATCAATAAGCAGAACCGGAATCATCGATACATTTCAAACGATACCCATCCCTAATGGAGATAGACATATGACTGTCATGTTTATTGCTTACGCAGGCCTTAGCTAATCTGAACTAAACACTGAATACGGCTTTGAACCGGTATTCTGCATCTTGTGACTGAAACACACTCTCTTGTATATAAGCATGTGAAGGACACTATTCAGGGAACTATTTGTCCCATGCAGCTCTGTGTGTGATGACTTCTTCCATTCTTGCAAGGATAATAAATACATGTATCCTGATATCGAAGACCAAGCCGGGAACAAGTGATATTTTTCTAACAATGATGATTAATGTTTGTCCCGTTCAGTTGCAATGAAGGCCATGAACAAAGTTGCCAGTCACATCAATGAGATGCAAAAGCTTCACGAGGAGTACGGAGCTGTTTTCGATCAGCTGATCAACGAACAGACTGCGCATAGAAAAGAGGTGAACATGATAAAGCCTATTTTACTCATGGTAATCCATATTCAATCCAAAATATTATTAAATGACTTAAATTCATATTTGACCTTGTGTTTGACTTATCTCAGGTGGCGGACCTCTCCATGGGGGACCTTTTGCTTCATTCTACGGTGGTGTGGATCAACCCTCCATCCTCCTTGACCAAGAGCAAAAAGGACCCCGATTTGGCTGCTTTTGGTAAGGCTTCATGTGCATTTAGGATAATATTGCTGAAATGATTATGCTTTATCTTTATTAGAATTGATTCAGTTGAAATCTTGTTTACATGTTCAGCTGTCTAAACAGCACAAGGCACACATCTACCACAACTTATGAATATTTACAAGTGTTGTTAGATGACATACAATAGAAGGAAGGTTTGTATTACCCAAATCTAAATCAAATATGGGACAGAAAACAGTCATGTACAGAGCCATGATCAGCTGGAACTCTTTACCGGTTCACATCATTCAGGAAAATTCTCAAGTACATTTCAAAAGGTTGCTAACAAATTATTTAAGTATTACAAAGTACATTTGAACTGTGCCTGTGGCTATGTATGCATATATTATTATGTACACTTATTTGTATTTACTTTTGTTTGGCCTTAGGATGGCGATAATTGGATGACTATTTTAGTTTTCACTTCATTTCACTGTAAATTGCATGACATTATGAGCTGTTTTGTTTTAATTTTGTTGTATGTTTATGTATGTTTTGAGTGTGTGAGGACCCCAGGAAGAATAGCCAATGCTAATGGGGATCCTAATAAAGACAAAGACAAATGTACTTAGCTGTATCCAATGCAATCAAATTATACATCCTTCGGGTCAATCCTATATGTCAAATGTAATAACATAAGGATATACCAAATGCAAAATATAAGCATTGGGTTAAGTTGTTTCACAGCTTAGAGTACACTTTTGACTTATGTTGGTGTTAATTTTTAAGTTAGCTCTTCAATATAAGTATTTACAAAATAAATGATATCAGCTTTGTATTGGTCAGCACATTATATAACTAGAAATCCTCTCACATGCACAGGGTCACGCGGACGGATGATCTGTAAGGCGCTCATCCTCGTGTATTAACTATTCAAACAGTGTGGGATTTATTCTTTTAGATGAATAAACACATGTTCCATATACAGCAGATATGCATTCACACTTTTCTCAGCAGAAAAAAATGAGCAATGCTACTATTCTGTGCTCTGGAAAAACACTGAATACTGTATCTTAAAACGTGCAAGCATGCACCACTTAACTGTATCCTACTGAACACTGCCATGCATAGTGTGACACTCGGTGCTATTTCTGATGGTGAGGAACTACACTCTGGTAAAAGGAAAACCCAGTCGGGCATATAGCACAAGGGATCTATTTTCTTCCTTTTCACGTGAAGAGCAGCGTGTAATCCTTACATTAAAGGAGTGACATGGTATTCTCACACACCCAGGAGTGCCTTTTGTCTAAAAATGTGACACGTTTGGCTCTAATGTGACATCTACATGCTATAAGAGCTTTTCCTGGCAAGGCGTTAGTGAGTGGAAGAGGGTGCTCCGTGCATGCAATCTCGTGACTTTGGTCCAATTTCATAGCTTGTGCTGCTGATCGCTGAAGCGTGCCCCCAGTTTGAGGCTATTCTTCCTCAAAATATGCAAACATGTGAAAGTGTCCATTTGATATGCTGCGTCAAGTTGTCACTGTAGTTAACTTGGGGATAACATATGCGTAATGTGTGAATGCTGAACCTTCTAATGGTTTCCATCTCCCCCTTGTCTTCATTTAGTGTTCAAAACAGCGGTTGTATTGTGTACAAAGACAGCTCCAAGCACAGGAGAAAAATTGTAAGTATTTTCCCATTTTCTGATGATTAATCTAGTCAGGGAAACACTACCGTGCAGATTGGGACTCTGGGCTTTCCCTGAAGTGCTTTTTGAATTACTTTTTTTTTTTTCGCAATCGCAAAACAAATTACGGACGTTTATGTCTTTCATAAATGGACAATAGACTGAATGAGGGTTCTTATCGGAATTGAATACAGATTATGTTTCACCCCCATTCTGTCATTGCTCTCTTCTGCTCTCTGCTGTCATGTTGACGTATTGCAGTGGTTCTGTGTTAGACATTTACCCAATGTGTATTTCTCAGGGTGGATCTCACCGAGCGTCTGTGAGTGACGACAAAGACCCTTTCCGGTTCCGTCACATGATCGCAACGGACTCTCTTCAACACCGTGCTCTTTCAAGTATGTATTGTTAAATACAGTAACATGCAGTCAATTATATTTTTCATCTTTCGTCCCCATTCTTCAGGTTTTCAGAAATGTGAGGAATCACAGAAATTAGGATTGCTGTTGGGGTCAGTTCTAGTTGAGTGAAGGGTCAATTTCATCGTTTTTTTTTACACACAACATCCTCCTAGTTGACTTCTAGAAAACGACTACATTCATTTTGGTATACAAAAATAAGTATTGTCTCACTCACCCGATTTGTCATGATCGGAATAGATAAGCTGTAAAATCAAATACTTTTGTATTTATTGTATCTCTGAAATATGTATTACACAAAAATTGAAATAGAAAGACAAAACATTTCGAGGCGCCATGTGGAGACTTGCATTTGTCTTGTCCAGAAAGCATAGTCTCTGACCTGATACTTTCAGTCAGCCAGGCGCCTCCATGATGAACGTCTGATCAGTGAGGAAACCTCTGAAGGGATTTTAGATAGATTCATGTGTTACGCATCATTCTGGGAGAGTTTAGAATCTGCACCAAAAGTCTGTATTATTGATCAAAGTTAAATGATGTCCTCAAGAGGGAGATGTTGGAGTATTAGTATTTTATGATGTGCTTGAAGTAGATTTTTTACTTTTTGTCCTCAGTAGATTTGCTCATTGCCTGAAAACACACAACCCAAGACCTAATCAAAATAAAAGTATTCTGCAATGTTATGTTAAAGTCTTATTTAAAATAAATAATATAATTGGCCTGTGAAGGAACCTGTCATCCCAAAACACAGAAGTTGTTTCTAATGACTCAATCTAGACCGTGTCTTCTGTGGCTCTTTTGTCAACTTGCTTTTTCTATTTCCAACAAAATAAATGATACCCTTTATAAATAAAACAGATGGATACCTATTAGTAGGCCTGCATGCAATCTACCTTACATTCCTGTCCTCAATGGAACTTAAATCACCCTTGGGCGATCCTGCTAAAGTGTTATCGTTTATCTGCCTAATGGCCTGTTGTTAAGGGGGGAGAAATTGATGTTGCTTACTGAATGCTTTTAATAAATCTGTCTTTTCCTCTTCCTCCTCTCAGACTCTGAGGGAACAGCGGTGTGTGAGATAGTTCACATAAGATCTGAATCTGAGGGGAGACCAGAGAGAACCTTCCAGTTGTGCTGCAGGTATGAATTAGTATTTTCCAAAAACTGCATTGGAAACATGGAGGCAGAACATAGCATACACAATTACCTTTTCTCTAGTACAGGGGTGTCCAAACTACGGCCCGCGGACCATTTTGAATCGGCCATCAGCAAATTCAAACAGTATAATGGAATATGGCCCACAAATGAAACTTGAGCTTGTGTTGTATTGTACTTCTTAACTATAAATGTAAAAATATATACACAGAAGTATTCATGTGTTAATAAGACCACTTTTCAAATAAATTCAGTCAATTAAAGTTGGACATTTTTTCTAACGTATCTTAGTTGATAAGAAAAAAGCCCAATGACAAATTTACATAACAAGCTTGAAATACACCCTTCCTATTTCTCCTTATTATAATCACTCTGAGGCTCCTGTTTTAAGGGATGAGCTGCCAACACTCACGAGCATCATTGACCTACATTTGATTGATTTAGCTAACTTATACAGTAACTGAACTTATGAGGCGATATACCTCTAGTGAGTGGCCCAACCCTTCGTATATTTTTCTGCATGTGGCCCTCGGTGAAAGTTTGGACCCCCCTGTTCTAGTATGTTGTCTTTAAGTTATTGTGTTTTTCTCCAATCTGCAGTTCTCCAGATAGTAAGAAGGACTTCCTGAAAGCAGTCCACTCCATCCTCAGGGAGAAGCAGCGCCGGCAGCTCCTGAAGACGGAGTCTCTGCCTCTCAACCAGCAGTACGTCCCGTTTGGAGGGAAGCGCCTGTGTGCCCTTAAAGGGGCGCGTCCCGGCATGAACAGAGCAGGTAACAAAGCTTAGGTAAAGCTTTTAGTTCACAGCACAAGAGGGGCCAAAGATGTTTAGTACATGATATTCACAAAGTAAAACATGTCTCCTGTCGGTTCAGAATCAGCTCCATCACGGACGCTGCCCCGCAGGAAGCTGGTGAGGAACCGCATCACCATCGACACTGACCTGATCTTCCATGGCAACAACAACAACAGCACTGATCCAGAGACCACCCACCACTCCTCCTACCCATTGATGTCCCAGCATGCTCTTCCTCAAACACAAAAACCTCAAGGGGAGGACACTGACCGCTGGGTGGAGGAGCAGTTCGACCTGGGTTGCTATGAGGACCAGGGTATGGTGAAGGAGACGGACATTTTGAGCGACGACGACGAATACTGCAAGTCTGTCCGAGCAGCGTCTGCAGAACCGTCCAACCTGGAGGGTAAGATGGAGAGACTGGAGCTACAGGGCGGAGAGATGACGAGCCACAACCTGAACGGACGGGTGGAGACAGGAAGTGAGGTCATGCTGAGCGTGATGCAGGAGGAGGAAGTAGAACGGATAAAGCTGTGTGACAATTCAGGCTCCGTAGACTCTTTCTCGTCCTGCGGGGTCTCCATCTCCCGCTGTTCAACCCCAGGTCTGACGCTCGCCCCCCTGAAGCAGTGTTCTGTGGAGGGGGCCTCAAACAAAGACCATGATGTCATCTGGGTGCGACGGGACGACTTTGGTAACGGGTGCAACGGTGACGTCTTCTGATTGGGAATAATAGAAAGATGAAGAAAATGAGCCAAAAGGGTGGTTTATTTAACTTTGTTACATAAAGTAAGAGGGCAAGAAAACAGGGGAGAGATTGAACACAAGCTTTAAATATGTTGAATTTGGAGGTATTCGTGTATAGGAGGAATTTAACCTCATCCAGTCCTCCCTGTGTTGCTACACAACCCCCTTCTTCCCACCTCTCCTGCATCTCCCTTGTTCTGACAATCCCAAAGTGCTGAACCACCGAGCGAGTGAGGGGAGCTTCTCATCCCGAACTGCTTAAAAGTGAACCCAAAAGAAAACACGGTCCTCACTGTTTTTGGATCCCCAAACTTCACATAAACCTCTGGAATTGTATGTGAACGTTTGAAAAAGACAGCACCGCATGTGCACGCAAGTAAACAAGCAACGTGTGTGTTTGTACACTGTCAGTACACAGGAGCACAGACACATGTACCGTGCACACATTACTGAAGAGACTCACTGAACCGGGATCTTCTGGCCAAAAATGTCTATTTTTCAACACAGGAATGTGGGTGTTATATTTTTCTGACTCAGAAACTGTTTGTATTTTAACACTCAAAGGGCTGTGTGTTACTGAACTTTCTTCAGGTGCTTTTGGCTAAACGACTGCTGTGTAAAAAGATGGTGAGATCCAACTAGCTTTATCGTGCTTTTTGACGTTTTAACTTAATATCAGCTGCACATTGATGTATAGCCAGGAGTACAATAGAGTGCCGTTAACCTCTTGTTATGAAAATATTTTGAAGCTCACTTTTGTCTCCTAGCATATCCTTTTTGAAAGAAAGTGTACCTAATCTTTATTTAATTATTGCCTTTTGACTGTAACTTTCAATGTTTACACCACACTCAGCTGCCCAGTGTTACAAACCACCTTTTGTGTGTTTGGTGCCAGAAACAAGCTTGACAGAGCCGTCGCTCGTGACCTTCACATGAATGTCCAGCCTATGATTTTGTTGCTCCAATAAAATGTGTTGTTATTTTGGTAACTCCATCAAGGTCATCATTATACTGGAGTCGTCTCACCCCTGAGGCCTCCTCATGCTCCACATCTTGGTTAATAGCATTATAATTCCTCCAACCATCCTGTTTTACTTGAATTGTCTTTGTTGTTTTGAAAGGAGTTATTCAACAGAACCATGTTGGTGACTCCAAGGAGAATCAAACAGTTTTCCTCTGATCTCTTCATCTCCTTCTCTCTCTCCAGCTCTTTGACCTTTGTCATGTCAGAAAGCATCACAACCACAGAAAAGCTGGTAGAGAGTAGAGACAGACTTCACATCCATGACATTTATCATCAACCCCTACTTAAGTCCTCTCCTGCATTTCTTCCATTCTCCACCAGGCTGTGCTGTTTCACTTTATGTCTTCACAACACGCTGATTGCTGAACAGTCATGCGCACCTTAATGGATGTATTGAACATGCACTTAATACCCTACTGTGAGGGGGAGGGGGGAATCTGAGAGCTACTCTGATACAGAGTGGAGGTAGATAATACACTTTGGATGTTTCTTATTGTGTTTTTATTGCGATGCTGGTTTCTTAGGTGTTAGCTGTCTGACGGAGCCCAGCAGAGACGTTCAAACTGTGAGGTACAATCACCTGGCCTTGGAGGCAAAATCCTGTGAGACCCCCTTTGACTCCTCCCTTTGTACTTTTAAAACTGTGTTCGTACATAAAACTGTGGAGTATTATCATTTTTATGTTAAAATAAATTTTCTAAATTTAGTTGTGTGAATGTGCTTTTTATTTGTCGTGTTACACACTTTTCTGAAGTCAAGGGGTGGCTCTCCATTATTATTACATTGGATGACATTGAGATGCCGCTTTGATCCAAAGCAACTTGCAATAATAGCATTACATCATAAAGATTAAACTCAGAACAATAAGAAAAGTGCAGATATATTCGCTTCAAATAAGCCAGACCCTTGTAAGTGCTTGTGCATTAGTTAACTCTTAAGTCCTTTTTATTATTTGTTTTAGGTAATGGACAAAGCCCTCCAACCCTGATAAAAAAGCAGACCTAGCTTTTTGGCTGACATCATAAATGCCCATTTGGGTTACCAGAAAATCCCATTATGTGGAACAAAAAAATATTGATTCCAGGTGCTTTTTCAAACTCAATTCCAGTATTGAATTGTTTTGCCTTCAATTTGTGGATTGTCAAATAATGAAAAAAACAACTAAAAATATGTGTCCTTAGTATAGAGGTTACCATGTAAATATGTACAGTAAAGTAATAACAAAAACACATTTAACATATCCTGAATGCAAAATGTAGTTTAAATACATCTGGTAATTAGTGTCTTCAGTTTCTATAGAATTCTGTATTTTTCAAAATATATTCATTTATTGCATTTAAAGGGTTAGGGTTAACCTTTAAGGGTCTTCTGTAACTCTAGCAGACATTGAGATGCAGGGACTTCACCAGAGACCCCTTCTGCTCAGTATTCAGACCAGTTTAGCGTCGGGCTGTTGCCCAAGGTCTCCTTCTGGAGAGGCTGATGGTCATTTCCTGATTAAATTAAGTTTGTCTGTTTTGTCAGAGGTCCAGGTTGAAGTTGGCAGCTTTTTTTCTGGTGCTCTCTGGCTTTGAGACAGTTGACAGACATTGTGATAAACCAAATGTCAGTTCTGACGTATGTCTTGAGGAGATGAAGAATGTGAATCTTTGCCTTTTTCAAATGTCACGGTATCACACAACCGTCCAGAGTTAACAAACTACAAAAACCCAAAAGTAAATACATGTCACGAGCTACAAAAATCCCTCTTTCATATACTCAAATATTTATAAAAAACATGAAACAAAAATATGTATTCAGATTGTTCTCTTTAAAGATACAAAAATGTGTTTAAGTCTGAGGGCAGCTGTTGGCACATCTCTTACTCCTTTTTTCTTATTTTTTTTAAATCAGTACAAAAAAAACATTACCCTGTCCTGTATTTGTTATGGGAAGGCTTCCAGTGACCTACTCGGATAAGACCTTGTCTGCAGTGAGAGATAATCTGGCATCTGCCCATAACCTGAAGATTATTCTCCCCTCATCAGGACCGGTGGAGAGCCGCTGCCAATCCATCTGCTCCTTAATCCATACCGAATACAGAGATAACCGGACTATTCAGTGTAAAAACTGGTATTTCAATTAAAAAATATAATATAATACAAAATATATATATTTCAACCACTTTTGGTACAAACAGCCCAATTTGTATAGTAGAAGTAGGCTACAATAAAGTATGGGTTTCAACTGCCATGATGGAAAGCTTAAGGCTACCAAGTATTATGACTTTTATGATTATGAAATACAAGCATACCGGCAACACACATAACTTCACTTATTTGGATAGAGAAAATAACTTGAATTTTAAGCAGTTAAGTGTATTGTTTCTTTAAAATCTCACCACCCAGGTGTATCCTACAATTTTTATTTTGAAAGTTCGTACCGGAAATGAATGCCTCTTCATCGTGTTATCGCTGTTCCGCGGGCTCTCTGCCTTCAGCTCAGCCTCCTCGTTGGACCAGTGCGTGAAAGTGGACATGCTCACTACTGTTTGTTTACCCACAGTTTTTCCACAGAAGATGTGAATTGGATAGATTTTTGTACAGGAAAGTTTTTGATCCACGCTGTTGATACTTCTTCGTTTCTTCTGTGCGAAATCCTGATGCAGAGTGGAGAGCATTTCATTGGGAATACAACTTGGGTTGTGCGCTGGCATGATGGCACGGCAGGTGTCTCTGCACTCTGATAGAGGTCGTGTCTTCCTGTCATGGTGTCAATGCCCGCGGTGAGTTCCCTGAAGCACAATGGAGGAACCAAAGAGACTTTTCTTCTGTCTTCTCTTCGCGCTGCAGCTCTGTCTGAGCTCCCCTCAAGTCCTCAGAATAGGTAAGAGCAACAGCTGTTTACGCACGGTGTGGATGAGTTGAACCAAGAGTAGGTATTTGAGTTTATTGTTTGTGTCAGATAGGATCACATCTTATTTCATCTCTGTATTTAATTCAGTAATGTGAACTTTTGTATCCCCTCATCCATTACTTGTGTCTATACGCATGCATTTAATTATAAGCACGTGTTGTTCTTATTCTCTGCGTTATTCTGTCATTGGTGATGTGTCACAACAGGGAAAAATGTCACCTGAATCAAAGGACAAAACAGACTTTGTCAACTTCCCTCCCTGCTGGTTAATCGGAGATAAAATATATTCCATTCGTTAATGAGTCCGCACATTCAATTACTGTGCGCATTGCAAAGGTCGTTGCAAGAGTCTGAAATACATTTTATCTCAGCTGAAACTTGTGGGGATCCACCTGAGCTGCATACATTTAACTCACATTTAAATATTAATCATTTCTGGGAGTTTTGAGTCTCGCTGGTGATCATAATTTGATCAAAAATGTCTTCAAAATGCCATTGATAAAGGGACATTTATTATGATAAATAGTTCAATTCTGCCCACCTTGCCATCAGAGGGTCTATTTGAGGCTTGTGCAATACATTCAAATTATCTAATTTAAATGTTAATCTGATTTTAAACTTCATAGAGGACTACACTCACACACGCACACCACACACACACACACACACACACACACACACACACACACACGCACACACACACACACACACACACACACACACACACACACACACACACACACACACCACACACACACACACACACACACACACACACACACACACACACACACACACACACACACACACACACATTAAGACACAGGAACAGTCGAAAGTAATAGATTATTGATTCCTCTCTGTGTAGTCGTCCGCTACACTCTTATTGAGGCATTTTCATTCACATTATGTCCCCCAGCAGCTGATTCACAAACAGCAGAGATCTATCCATCAGTGAGATTGGTATAATAGGCAGTCAGGGCGATGTAATCATCCTCAGTCCTGTGGATTTAAGAGGAGTGGGAGAACTCCTCCAAGGCTTGATTAGACAGGAGGAGGCTGTGGGATGTGTTCATTACCCAAGCCTCTCCTTTTTAGGCTTTGAATCAAACCTGAGTCAAACGGTAATATGTGAACATAATTGACTGAATTATTTTTAAAATTGGGATCACTGCCACTTGTTCCTAACTTGAAGAGGTACAGGCTAGAAGAGGATCTATGCAGTAGTAATCCTGGATTGGATAGGAACACTGGACTGGAGAAAGGATATATTTAGATATGTCCAAATCCAAATCCTTATCCATCTTGTTTTTTTACACTACAAATCATGATTTTGCATTTCTATTTTAATATTGATAGTATTTAACAACACAGTAAGGCATCTGTTAATAACGAAATACATACATTTAGCCATGATATTCCAAAATAATAATAATTTGAGCTTTTTAGGTGAAAGTTTCCTTTGTTGGTTGTGCCTTGTGACAAAATGGCTTTCATACTTTGCTTTGCTTTGCTTGGATAATTATGGGGGAAACTGTGTATGGGTGGGAGTTCTGATCATTACAGAGCATTTTCATACATGGTTTAAAAAAGAAAAAATACTCTGTTTTGATAAATGTCAACCTTGAGAGCTACTCTTTGTTCTTCTTGGAAAAAATGCATCTTTGAATATGCAGATGTTGATGTTTCAAACGTTTAATTGCAGGACAAGAAATGTTGCTTACTTGCACTAACTAAGTCATATTTTATAGTGTTTGTGCACTGATTTATCTATACACATCATTCTTGTGTGAGTTGTGTATCGGACCTCAAATTACTTCTGAGTCATGGCTATAATGTCACATGGTAATTTAAGAACAGCTCAGAGGAACGTTTCCCCTTCAGCAGATTCATGTTAAAACAGCCTTTTAGTGTCAAACTCTGCACATACATCATGTTGAACAGTGAAGGTCAATGGCGTTCTGATTAGTAGCAATACCCAAAACTAATTTCTGAGTTGAGGGTGACTTTAAATTGCTGGCCAAAAGGAAAAAGATTACATTGAATTTCAGAGGAAAGAGATCAGTGAAATGGTTCTCACTCTGTCAGCCCATAATATCAATATACTTATCACTGACCCAGAAAGTATGTTTGTTTGTTCTTACGCAAAATGCATGACATACGGAAATGTCTGTAAAGATCACTCACAATTTGACCAAGTCATGTTTAAGCAAGATGAAAAATAAACATGTCTTTACTTTTTTTGGGCACACTAGTCAATTTTGACCTTTTTTTCCTTACCAAAAATTATGTTTTGCCTTTTCTGTATTGCAATGTCTTTGAAGCTTTTGGTTGAACATATTGAATATATCTGTGATAAGCTTGGATCATAGGATATTCTAGACAAATGTTTTTTGACCAGCCATAATACACATTATAAGCTGTTTATCTTGATTCAAGATTCAAGGCTTTTATTGTCATTCGTACATATATAGCTACAGTGTAGTTATGTAGATGGAAATCTTAGGTCCCAGGCTCCTCCAACAGTGCAACACAATAAAACAGATAAAACAGTGCAAGTAATACAATAAAATAGAATAGAGTAGTGCCATAAGAGTCTATATACAAGTGATACATAATCTGTAAATTGCAAACAGGTGAATGTTTTGCATCTTGATGTATGTATTGGTTCTCTTTTCTAGCATGGGCAGCATTTGTTCATTTGATCTGGTGCACAGCTGCACATGCCGAGAGTTTAGCTCTGGGTCACACATTCATATTCAGGACCATTCAAGAGCAATAAGTTCAGCTTTGATGGTTCAGCTCTCCTCT